GGCTAGGATGAACTATCGTAAAGCACAATTTAATAATAGATTCTTATGATTAACAAAAACTTCCTTCGTTTTACTTTTTTTGACCACTTTCTAAAAAGAGACATGAACGCTCTATCTCATTCACCAGCCTGTCTTTGGTTTTCTTCGATCTATCTCTGATCTAATACAATCTCTGTCCTTTTTACTGATTACACTCAGCTGTTCTCTGTTTTATCACTGGAATAAAAGTTATAAAATGCATTATTTTAAAAAATTCAAACACTGGAATGGAGTCAAAAGTTTCTTGGGTTCTCTTTACCTCAATATTAATCTTGAAAACTGTAAACAGTTTACTGTGATTCCTCTTAGCTATTTTCTGCTCAGATGTGAGCATTTATTCACAGATCCTCTTCACATTTTATTTTAAATAGGATTTTTATGCACATTGTTTTATAGCTCAACTTTTCTACTTAAGTCTAAAGGGTTTTCCTACATACCTACAGATCTTTTTTAAAAACAGGAGCAAATATATATTTTTTTTTTATATCTCCACAAGATGGCACTAGTACATCATTTATTTTGGAGAAGCTTTGCTAGATTGGTGTGTGTTGGAGATGTCTCTCACCCAAACCTTCCATAGGTTTAAATGATGCCACTCAGTAGTGTAGCAGGGAGTCTGGCAGAAAATGCTGCGGAGCTACAGGGCTTGAAGTCCTTTGTAGCCTCAGGGTTTGTCTCAGCCTTTGGTAACATTGGCTAGTAGATTTGGATACAATCTCTCAAGGTACACAAATTTTTATACAGTATTTACAATCATTCAATGTATAAAATTTTGAGTCTGACCTTGGCAGTCATAGTTATTTACATAGTATATACACTGTGTTAGGCATTGTAAATAATCTAGATTTTATTTTAAGTAGAAAGGAGGGTGGTTTCTCTCAGTGGTTCCGACACCTCCCTTGCAAGGGCTCAAGTTTGATCCCTGGTACAAAGAAAAAAAAAAAAAAAAGTAGAAAGGAGGATGCAAATAGGTAATATGCAAATATGCCATTTTACATAAAGGGCTGGAGTTTCCACAGATTTTGGTATCCACGCACAAGCATAAATGTGTGTATAATATAAATGTGGAGTATAAACAATAATTATAAAGCAAACCCCAAAGTATCCACCACACAGGATAAGAAATATTCCTGGTACCTATGATGGTATCTGGAAAAAATGTAGAGTTATTCATTTTGCCTAATTTTGAACTTTATATAAAAGGAATTATAGCATTCATATTTTTCTGCATCATTTCTCTTACACTATGATTTAGAATTCACCCACGTTCTTTAATATGGGCTGTTGTTTGTTCATTTTGTTGCTGTATAAAATTTACCAAAATTCATTTTTCAAGTGTTTTGTTAATGATCAACTAGTTTCCTTCCATTTTGGGCTATTATGGCTAACATTGTTATGAATACTGTGTAAATGTGAACAACTCTACTGTACTTGTCTGTATAATATGAGAGGTGTGTGCTGGAGTTTTTCTAGGGTCTCTATATATACACAATGTGTGTGTGTGTGTGTGTGTGTGTGTGTATCACTACTGTTGGCTTAATGAATATACACATTTCAACTTTTTAAATAATACCAAACTGTTTTCCAATATGATTAAATGAAAGTTTATTCTTTGAGGACAGGAATAAAAGAATGATAGCACTACTACTATTTCTAATTGATAATTTTATCATACTAAGTATGTTCTATTCTATTCTTATTTATAAAAATCTTTAGAAGTTTAGCTTTTAATTGAGATGGGATAATATTTCACAAACCATTTTTTAAAATGATGATGGGACTATTCAAGTGTTCTATTCCTCTGTGTCTGTTTTGACATATTTTTCTAAATTTTTTTCATTTTATCTAAATTTCAAAATTTAATAGCAAACATGGCTGTATTCTCTTATACTTGCATAATCTGAACTGATTTCAATTGTTTCAACTCTTGCATCTTGGTTAACTGAGTCATTCTGTCGTGCTCTCTCCTTTTGGTGATCCTGTTGGGATTTATAAATTTCAATAACTTGGTTTTTCTGTTTTCCCGTATTATATATAAATTTTTCATATTTCAGTAATTTCTACTGTTTGCTCTCATATCCCTTTTCTGAATTTATTTTCTTGCATGTGAAAACTTAGTTTATGGAAACTTGCTTTTCAGCTTTTCTTTTTTCCCAATATTTAGGTTAAGTGACCTAATTATTATTTCAGATGCATCCCACAAAATTGGATATTTAGCATTTTTCAGATGAAATTATTTTCTAATTTCCATTCTTCATTAGCTCTTGATTGATTTAGATATATACTTCTTAATTTTTCAATGTATCAGAATTTTCTCTTTCTAGTTTACTTACATTGTGATCAGAGAACACATTTAACAGGATTTCAGTCCTTCCATATTTGTTTGCTTAGTGCATCCATTTCTATATTTTTCCAGTACTTGATATCAAATATATATGCAATATATTTTTCCCAGTACTGGAAACTGCTATATATGGAATATACTTTATTCAAGCACTGGGAATTGAACCCAAGGCCTTCACACTGAGTTACATGCTCAGTCCTTATTTATTTATTTATTTATTTTATTTATTATTTTTTGGAGACAGGGTCTCACTGTGTGCTAAAACTGACCTGGAACTCACTATGTAGCCCAGGCTGGTCTCGAGCTCACAGCGATCCTCCTGCCTCAGCCTCCCGGGTGCTGGGATTACAGGCGTGCACCACCACACCTGGCTAGTCCCTTTTTAAATTTTTTATTTTTTATATTTTGAGAGTCTTGCTAAATTGCTGAAATTCTTTTTTTAAACCAGGGATTGATTTGCCTCAGCCTTCAAAAGTGCTGGGATTACAAGAACATGTCACTATCAACAGCTACATATATATATATATTTATTATGTTAATTTGGGGACATTGAATCCATAATTACTATTTTATGGATTTTGAAGTGGTATATTTTGCTTTTTTATTTGCTCTTTTGTTATATGTTTCATTTTTTTTCTCCTTTACTTTCTAGAATTATCTAAGTATTTTTCATTCTATTTATTTTATTTTCTCTATGTGTAGGCTGCATAAAATATTAAATACCATTTCTATTCCTTTAGTGGTTTTCTAAAATTGTGCACATACTATTATGTTAATATCTAACATTAATCGGTACTCAACCCTTACACAGATTCTGCACACACACATACACATATATAGTATGTTTAACATACAGGAAAATATCTCTAAATATTTTTTCTCTTTCAGAATAGGTAGGAGTAGGTAGAAATTTTGTGATCAAGATAAAGTAGGATAGAAAAAAAGATATGTAGAAAGGAAACAGGGAAATTGGAGCTTTAAAATTTTACTTTAAAAATAAATGCAAAATTACAATGCCTATTTTATGCTTATGTTTGTTTTTCTCTTCTAAGTTATTCACTCCTGAACTCCTACAGTCTTAAAAGACACAGTAGGTCTGTAAATTAGATCCATTCCTTTTCCCATAAAGTGGACTGTGGTTTTTTCCTGACTCACAAACTCCACTGACTTCTACCTACAAGGAAACAGCACTGTTAATTGGGTGTCATATCTCTGAACTTCAAAGGCGTGCAAATCTCTTCCTAACCAAGCCCAGCAGTGGGTAACCTGACAGACTCTAGAAGTACATGTCTCCTTAGATCCTCAGCCCTGAGGACATCCCCAAGACCACAGAAATATCTCCAAGTCCAGGCCTCATTCCCTTCATCCTTGGGCACCTGCACTCCCTTCTGAGCATCCTCTTTTGATTTATTAAAAAATGTGCCTGCCCTTTCAGTGATGTGTTCCGAAATGCTTTTGTGTGGTCACATCAGAGGGACCTACTTTATAGGGGTACTGAGTTGAGGTCCCCATTCTTCCTTGGCGGGGACTTCCTCAGGGTGCATTTGGTGACAAAATCATTACCAACAGCCAAATCAGCCAGGAGGATTTAACGTTCCACAGATTTGCAGCCCCTTGGAGCTCAGGAGGCTGACTCTGGGTCAGACTTTGGTAATGAGTCAGGGTACATTAAAGTCACAAGAAGTGGTTACCGTGTAGAGTGTAAACATTCTGGTTCACAGAATGTACTGCAAGGACAACCTTCATTGTGTAGATTCACACTTGCACATTCACCCACTTTAAAAACGATGTAAAAATGCCTTGCTCCTAAACTTGAGAATCTACTGGCCATACATTCTTATTTACAACTTGAATGATTTTAAGTGGCTGTATTTATTAAACTCACATACCTGCACACATGTCTAGGCATAACCGACTTCACCCTGATTAGTGCTTCCTCCATGCCTAGTTTTATTTATAAATCTGCTATCATTTCTCAAAAATTTGAGGCCACCACGTGTAAAACAGTTTTCCCGCCTACCTCACACCCCTTATTTTCTTGGGTCCTTATACTAGTTGAAATATTTGTTGATTTTTGTTTTTGCATGCTCCCCTGGATAATGAGCTGAGTAACAGGTTGAATATTGCCAGGGTACCCTCACTGTCAGGCACTTAACAGACACTCAGTAAATACTTACTGGACTAAGTTACTGTCTTTGGAATTGTAACATGCTGTGAAAAAAAACCAGGAAAAAAAAAAAAGGTTGGAAGGGACCTTTTTTGTATAAAGACACTAACACTTGTTGCAGGAAAGCCTTGCCCAAGGTAACCAGTACAGAGAAAGCAGACTGCAGGACCACCTGCAGTCCAGGGCATCTCCTAGTCATCTCCTCTCTGCGATGCGACAGTACCAGAGATGGAACCTACAGTCTGAGGAGGTTGATGGCCACTGAATACTTGTCTGGGGGTAGATGCCCAAGACCTACGCGTGGGGCCTAACTGCGATTGGTCGAGAGCAGGGGAGTCGCGGAGCGGAGTTAAAGTCTCCCTCGCAATGCTCTAAGAGGACCCGGTACCGCCTACCATCGGCTTCAAAGTTTAGCTCGGAAGAAAAAGACGAGGTCTCTGTTTCCGGGGACGTTCTCAGCGGAGCACCCGCCCCTCCCTTTCCGGTCGGGTCCGCCCCGCGTCTGTGTCCCCACGTGTGCTCGGGCTGAAGAGCGGGTGTGAGAGTCGGCGCTCCGGGCTGTGAGCCTGTGGAGTCTGGAGTGCGGAAGTCCTCCGTGGCCCCTAGGACTTCACCATGGTAGGCACCTTCCCGCTCCCCTGACGCCGGTTGGCCCTCGAGGGGTTGCGGCGGGCAGCAGGGAGGAAGGTCTGGGGGACCCGGCGCGGGGCGGACGCGGTGACGCTGCG